TTCTGAGTCTTTGCTGTGTTGTTTTAAAATATACTCATCTCTTCTGTGTTTTATTGCGTAGGAAAGGGTAATAAGAGTCATCAATAATAGCCATCTTAACATGCTGCAGGAACTGTCAAGAAAGTGATTACTGGGGAAAAAAAACAAGAGATCTTTCTAATTTCCTTGTGGCTCACAGAGTAATCTACGCCAAGATTTCCAAGGTCCTACTTTTCCAAAGAAACAAATACAGTTATTTTTTCCCTTGAGTAGTTGAATCCATGTGCATTGATTCCTGCCTGTTGTTGGATCAGGCATGTTTCCCAAAGCTCGCTTCTCCAACCATCTGCACTTGCAAAGCAGGCACTTGCAAAACATGCTGATTCCTGGGCTCTCTCCTGGGCTGGCTTAGGGTGGGGATCAGGAAGATGCAGTTTTCTCAACTTCCCCAGGTGACTTGTTAGCACATTTAAAATCTGAACATTGCTTTATGGCAATGAAAAGCCTAGTGATTGGGATAAACTGTTGAAGGTGATTTAGGAAGAAAATATGCAGTAGTTATGCAAATATGTATACTTTATTATATTAATTCCTTCATTTCCTGGTATAAAAACTCAAAACAGCCTTTTTAACCTGGCATCAAAGTTCTGGGAACCTCTTCTCATAGAAACAGGCACGTGCACACGGAGGTCTCATTTTGCACCCAGTTTCAGGGGTTGATGAATCCTTTGCACTCCATTCATGGGTATCTATGGATGTGCCTTATATCTCAGGAACCCTTCATCAGATGGGGATTATTTTAAGGGGAAAAGGGAAGCAAAAACACCAAGTGAATAAGGAAGAACAGGGCATAGGTATCCAGACTACCCCTACAGTTGAACAAAGGTGCCAATCTGGGGGGTGTGGATGGGCTGAAATGCTGCTGTATGCTGCTGGCCATGTTGTACACCCTGAGTGGGGCTTTGTCTCTGAAGGATGGGGAGGCTTTCTATATTTTGCCCTGTATGTATAGATTTTATCAAAAACACAAGCCTAACATATGCCATCGGTCCATCAATGAGGCAGGCAAATTTCCTTAGTGTCCCTCTCAGTGGATCAAAAACTTCAGGAAGACCAATAGAAAATATTAGCCCCATTTATCTCAAAAGCATTGTCTCAGATCACATTCCAAAAGACACAGGTATTTATCAAGTACTAGTAAAATAAACTACAACTTTCAGTCTGACCAGGGGTGAGGAACCTTTTTTCTGCCAAAGGCCACTTGGATATTTATAACATCATGTGTGGGCCATACAGTTTAAAAAGTAGCCTGCTATATTTGGTCAAACATTTAATTAATTCACCCCCAATGCCTTGGCAGGGCCAGACCTTATACGGCCCATGGGCGGGACATTCCTCACCCCTGGTCTAGACCAAAGCCAGAGAAAAATCAGATATTTATTTCAGTCTGACCAGGGGTGAGGAACCTTTTTTCTGCCAAAGGCCACTTGGATATTTATAACATCATGTGTGGGCCATACAGTTTAAAAAGTAGCCTGCTATATTTGGTCAAACATTTAATTAATTCACCCCCAATGCCTTGACAGGGCCAGGCTGAATGATTTTGAGGGCCAACCCCTGTTCTAAATTATATTATATATTTGCTGGGTA